CGGCTCTTTTCATCCTTTTTGGATGCGCGGACAAGTTATGTATCAAAATATTTTTACTGCTTGGTTTGCGGTACCATTTCGTTCTGTATTCTCCGTTTGATAGATGAATCTCTACGTTAAGGTACGCTAACCATTCTTTGTCAGGCCTCTCGCGCGTAAAATTGATGCTGGAGCACTGCTGATTGAGAATATTAAAACAAATATCCAGCTTTGCTTGCGTAGAACACACTATACAGCAGTCATCTATGTATCTGCAATATAGCAGTGGCTTTCGCTCAAGTATTGGCGTTAGTATTAGTATTCGACCTTCGACATGAATGCGATTGCAAGAGTTGGCGCCAAGGGCTGTCCCATTGCTAAACCTCTGATTTGTTTATAGTAATGTCCCGACCATCTAAACACAGTGCATTCAAGGCATGCGCGAAGAAGGGTCGTTATGGCAGGTATGTTGAATCCGTAGAGGTTTAGCGAGGATTGATGCTCTGCGAGCAGCTCACAAATCGCTTGAATTGCGGCACCATTTGATACGTTTGTGTATAACGATGTAACATCAAATGATTCGATGACGCAATTGCAACTTAATTGTGATTTGCGAAAGCGTTCGAGGAGCATACTGGTGTTAGTAAGATGCGCGGGGACATATTTCAATAACTGCACCAAAATTAAGTTGAGAAGCCATGCGATTTTATCGGTCGGACCCCCTACACCTGTGATCATTGACCATTAACCATTCTCTCAAACTAATGTCAAGTTCATCAGTGTGATAGAATGGTTATCAAAAGTCGCGATTTTACGACCATGGCCTTACCTGTAACACCCATCACTCCCTCTACCTGCTGCACCAGTCCTGTGTAGGTTGTTCATTTCATTTCTGTGATTTTTACTTCTGAAGTGCAGAAGAACATATCTGCTCATTTGCAGTGTCCAGACAATTTGTGTTACGTGGACATTTTATTATAGAACCAATACCATCAGTGGTCCTGATTTAGAGAAACGTTTGTAATCCGCGCTAACTAATTCTAGCGATGTCAATAAGCCGCTGACGATATTCCAACATAATTAGGTGCAGGCAGGCAACTCAAAGCGCGAAGGCATAAAAGGTATTGTAGCGGTAAAAGCTAGTATTTGAAAATACAGTGTCATTGCGGTGGCGACAGCACTTGCGCGTGAACAAATCCAATGCTTGAAGACAACAAAGTTTGCAGCATGTCCATTTGTTAGCCAGTGCCGGGGATGTTTTAACACATTCATGACAGGGACGGTTTTTTAATTACTGCCGCTTCGGACCACAGCATTTTTGGCTTTGTCAAATTTACGACCTGCCCTTGGGTCGTATTGTCCGAAATGGTAGTCTTTTTGGGAAAAATTCAAAACATTTCTTCAACAATTTCCCCAATAGGGTTATCAAAAGCGCTAATTAACAAAATATGATTTAATTCAGTTTTGGCCTTATATGGTAAGAAAGTAGTCATTATGTACGAACCCTAAATCATGAATTTTTATGAAAAATTGAAGTTATTGTAAAATGGAAGTCTCACTACTGGTTACGATTATAATGTCCACCCACTTTCTTCAGTCTACTGTCCCAAGGGCTACCGTAATAGTACGGTGTTATCTTCGTAAAAATCAAGAAACTGATGTAAGAAGGCGTTATTAGAGGTTGAGACTATCATTTTCGTAATCAGTATGCTACAGAACCCATATGTGTAAAATTTGAGCATCCTGGGATGAACAGTGCAAAAAATCGATGAAATCAATAAAATCGATAATTTTTCGATAGGCTAACGTCAGTCCCTTTGCTTCCCGTATTTCTTGTGCATGTACACTAGAATTTTCAGAAACAGAATCATTCTGTAAAATCTGAGTTAAAATTTGTGCTTTATCTCTATCTACGCTATACCTACCGTAATATTACAGTATCCCGAGCCCGGACCACTCTAGCTGGAGCTTCGCCTAAGTGTCCCCAATCATGTGTTAGTACCCCGTAGATTCATCGTAAGCTAGCAAAGCTAGAGCTTCAGATCTACAACCAACCGCTGGGTCGTTTTGTCCGAAATGGCAGAACACGTACGATCTACTGGTGAGTCGTATTGTCGTGAATGTGTTAAAAACAACTTCGGTATAAAATGACTTTTATGAATGTAATGTATACTTTCTAAAAAAGCACTTATTGAGAAGGCCCATCTGCAATGAAAAAATTTGAAGGGAGGATAATAAATTACGAAGATCGCTACTGTGCCGGAGAGTTTTTAGAACTAGCCAAACGCAATGCATAAAGCGGAACGTGCATTTGACTTCACGGCCCCATTGCACCTCACAACTTGTTCTATGATCCGGCAAAATTATAGGAAATCTGCAGATTTTGATTTTGACGAAGGTCAAATTTACCACTTGTAACACTTACTTTCCCTCGTATGTATGACATAAAATCCAAGTTGGCTTGATCGCTATACTGCGCGATGTTCTTACCGAAGATTGTTCTCTCGTACCTCGTAAAGTCTGGATGCTGTGAGCAGTTCTAGTTTGAAATTGATATGTCGCTCTTCAGAATGAGATTTTAATAAATTTTTTGAAGTTTCCACAGGTTCTGTAGCTGTTCTGACCTTGATGTTACTTCGTACCAACATTGTAGTGTTGAAAATCGGTTGCAAAAGAAAAGAAAGCAAAGGGTACCGAACCCTTGACCCTCATCGCATCAGTCAGTCTTGCCACTGCGCTATGCCGCTGCAGTTAGCGACTGGGCTACGGATGTTTGATGTGCTCGGCGTGACCCTGGTGGGATCAGGGCCCATAACTCGCGTACAAGACCGCTTCACAGATATCGAAGGTAGATATGTTACTAGCGTACCCTGAGGGTGATGGCAGTATGCAGCTTGTGCGCATTGGCCACTTCGATTTCTGACCATTGCCTTGTAAGCAGAGGATATTCCAATAACCATTGTCGCACGTTTGAGGACTGATCTGCCCATGGTTCCTGTTCTTTTTACCCTAAGAGACAAAAAGTGCCTACTGATGGTTTCAATCTAATAATCCTGCGGATTTCACAGTAAGGTCTATGATTAGCAGTGTTGGGGTCCAACTGATAGGATTTCGTAGTTTCTTAACACTATCCTCTCTCAGTTGCTAAAATTTGTTCAAGCACCCCTTACCAAGACTAGCACGTCTCTTGATCGCCTTCGCAGCACCGAAAGTGAGCTAAAGATGCCCTATGGAATTTTTTGATGTGGAATCGCTCTATATCAATGTCTTTAAGACGGCGCATTGCAAGCGACTTTCGAGCTTCGTTCAGATACCAGCCGTCGCTTAATTTGTGTGCGTTTAGCATCAAAAGTACTTTAACCTTGGTCACGGAATGTCTCGACTCTATTTTTCGCTGACGTGGCTGCTACTAAAGGCAAATTAGAGGTCTAGCTATTGGACAGAGACGGGCACCCCCACCTTGGCAATTGTTTTTATGTCCAAAGTGGACGCAACAGTACTTGCCAGCAAACCTCTTCTCTACTGTCGGTACGTGGACAACTGCCTCCATTGTTTGTCCCACTCAAACTAAACTCGGCACTTGCTTTAGTGTGTTGAACGGACAGGACGCCAACATCAAGTTGACAACGGAAAAGCCCAAAGAGGGGTGTTAACCATTCCTCTAGGTGCAGATACGATGTCAGCGAAAGGTTCAAACCCAGGTGGTTTCGTAAACCTAGCAACAAAAACATCCTCATCCATCACTTATCGCACATCCTACGCGCATAAAAACGGTTATAAACGTATTCAGAACTGCTGCTGGGGTCTCTTCTGACAGAGAGTCGGGGATGAATTTGCTAGAGCTAACAAGACATGTAACAAAAACCAACAGATACTCCACAGAAATTCGTCGTTTCCGCAAACATCATGACAGCTCTTTGGGTCCTCGCCGACAACAGAAGTGAAAGAAAACATGCCATTCAGGTGCGAAAACGCGCGTATGATCGGCTCTGCACAACCCCATACGGCGTTGTCTGTCCACTTAGCAAGGAAGGAAACTGCAGGGTATCAGGTGTTGTCTACCTTATCACGTACGAAACAAGACACGTGAAGAACGTGTATTGGTGAAACAGGGCGCCTTCTGAGTTCACGCATCAAAGAACACTTAGATGGTCACAACAAGTGCAACGTAGCTAGTATCTGCTCCACGACGAAGGCAATCGCCCAAATAAGTTGAAAGCATGCAAGGCTGGTGCGCACGCGGCGCGCGGGCAATTGTCAACCATGGGACGCGCGCGGATGACCGCTGACAGAGCGTTGCCCGCGCGCCGTGTGGTCAGCCTAGCATGTTTTCAACCTATTTGGGCGACCGCCTTCGCCATGGAGTAGATATTACACAATTAGGCATGCACCGCAGGCTCAGCCATAATAACGCAGTGGTGACGATCCAAGTTCAAGTTCTGGCGCGTAAACCCGATATCTTATCGCGCGAGACACTCAAGGCGTTTGAGAAATCAAAAAATCAACCTCAAGGACGAGTGCCTGGCTATTACTGATGAGCTGGCAGCAGCTTGGGTCAGGTCGAGAATGGGTCACTAGGAAGTTATAAATTTGGCAATATAATTCTTGGCAAATGTGGCCTGCACCCACGAAACTTATCATCTGCTAAGGTGAGCATTAGCTCAATCTGTAGTTTTGATTGCGTTTTTGCTTTTCTAAAGGATTGGGTTGTCTGTAGTAGATAGGTTGTCTATAGGTTTTTTATGCCGTTTGACTTTTTCAGACTCTGAAAAATGCGAAACCGCCAAAACGTCAATCTGTCTGTAAAATAAGTACTACTGAACCAGACTTGGCTATTCAGCTCTCGCAATCAAACAAAGAAATTTTCCACAGGTTCATCGACAGTGGAGCATAGAATAACAATGAGCTGATATAATAAACAATTACAGAGGACGGACGAGGGCGACTTTCCTCAGATATTAGTGACAAAAGCAGGAGTTTGGTGAGAAGAAGAAAGATTTTTCAAGCAATCTATTCTTTCACTAAGCGCAGTGCAGATTGTGGAATAGGAGTTGTCCAGTTTTCCCACTGCACTTTGCAGAATGTGCCATCGAGCTGCAAGAACCTTAGATGGATTGCACTTGAACAGCTGGAGTTTCACATAACTTACAGAAAGAATGGTACCTATGGCCGATGACGTGTGTTCCTTTCCATGTAGTAAGACTATATAGTCCATAAGGAATTCAGGATTCCGTTGTTTATATAAAAGAGATTGTTTAAAGTCATTGTAACAGACGGGGCATTCAACGGTACGATTTTTTCGAATCCTGAAGGGTATCTACTTAGGTTAGATTCTTCCTTTCATGATATGCTCAATCAATTTAGTTCGGACTGCTTACCAGCGTGCTACTGAGTGATGGTAGTATGACTCGACAACACTCTGCCTCCACTGCACACTGTCTCCCACGCGGAAAACTTCAGGTGAGCACATCTCGACAAGGCCAGGCATATTATAGAACTGAAGACCTTAGACAACGAGATCTGACTTTGTCGACCTCACCTCAGCCTCTTTCCGAAGTTCTTCTCGAGCACCATCGTCCAGAGGAGGTGTAAAGTTCTCACTGTCTCGTAGGTAATCTAATATCTGAATGAATGCATTAAGTTTAAGGAATAAACAAGTTTGATCTTACTTTTGCGAATTGAGTTGGACTTCTGTCCACGAATAGCACTTCTTGATTTCGCCAACTAGCAGCCATAGCAGAGAGTACCTTTTGCAATCAGATGGAACAGCATAAGAACATTAAGCTACACTCACAGTATTATCAACTCTCATTAAAGTAGACAGATAGGTTTCAAAAATTGTTCCACCCACATTGATCTTAACAACCTCGCCATGTGCTTGAACTCTGTTATCACTCTGAAATTTTTGCAATTTGACTCATTATAGTAGCCAAACAAGACATGAAAAAAGGCACTGCCAAAGGACTGAGCTAAATTCTGTTTTTTTTTTCAAAGTAACACTATTCGTAATTGGCATGTCAAGCGTCCGGCGAAGTTACAGTGCTAGTGAGCTACATTCCATAATTCTAAATCCCACTACAAGGCGCTATCGTGGAAAAAAATGGGTATGATATTCGTAATCAGCATGTTAAATACCCTCCACCCCCGTGCAAAGTTTCAGCGAGATGTGAGATATTGACCACATACCGCATGCATACCTTAGAAGAAAAGACTGTAGAATTGCTTCTTATAACAAGGGAAACAAGGGAAGGACGCTCGGTCGAAGTGGGGTTCCCACACGTGATGCATATCATTGTGCTGGTCTTGGTGCACTAAAAACAAATCTGTGTTCCTTAGCTGCTCCATAATCTTCTGGGAAAAGTTGGGAGCGATGGTTTCCCTAGGATGACCACGGATCGCTTTAGTTAGCGACGCCAAGGAAGGTCAATTGTGGAGTGATGGCCGAGTGGATAACTGTGGAGACTATGGAGGAAGTGGTAAAAAGTTCGGAATACTATGTTCCAAACTTTTTCCATTTTGTAGATGTAGATTATTTGATATGTATCCTCAGAGGGCCCTAAGGCAAAAAAAAAACACCCGGCACCCGTTGAATAATATGCAAAAATGCAAGAATGCCTAGAACATAATACTTCGAACGTTTTACCACTTCCTCTATAGTCTCCGCTGCTATCCTCTCGGCCATCCCTCCACACTGACACTTCTCGGCTCCCTAACTTAAGCGATCCGTGGTCATCCTGAGGAAATGATCACTCGTAACTTGTCTCGGAAGATAACTGAGCAGCTAAGGAACACGACTTGGTATTAGTGCCGCAACACCAGCACAATGATGCATCACGCATAGGAACGCCATTTCGACGACGGTCCTTCCCTTCTAACAAGGGAAGGAAGGTTGGTCGAAGTGGCCTTTTGAAATGAGGTGTATACTGCCTTGTAGAGCTTGGAACGCTGATTCCAAATCTACCTTTGCTATCTGCTGCGGGCTTCTGGGCGAGGAGTTATGAAGGTTTTTGTGAGTAAAAATCTGAATGCAAAAATAGGGCAAAATCAGTCGTAACCTTTTCCCGATGTTCAAATGAGGCAGCAACGAATTGGTTTGTTTGAATCAAGAACATTTGTTGCACCGAGTGACCCGAATACCAATTAAACCCATTATAAAAATGTTACGACTGATTTTAGCCTACTCTTGCATTCAGATTTTTACTCACAAAAACCTTCATAACTCCTCGCCCAGAAGCCCGCAGCAGATAGCAAAGGTAGATTTGGAATCAGCGTTTTAAGCTCTACAAGGCAGTAAACATCTCATTTCAGAAGGCCACTTCGACCAACCTTCCTTTCCTTGTAAGATGATAACGATCAACTGGTCAAGCGTCAATGAGCCTGTGGGGGAAGCTAGTAGCTGACTTGACCCCGATGACCAAATATGCATAGGAGAGCAAAACTCTAAATTGGAGTACCACGTAAAAAGTCCGAACTCACTTTTAGAATCATTGCCTCAAAGAAATTATTGAATTGTCGGAAATTACTGACTTCCTATTACACTTTTGTCGACAAGGTCAAAAGGTCTATTCATTGATACAGTGCCATCGCGGTCCGTAAGTACACACACTTTATGGCTGAAGATCCGTTCTGTTCTTATTTTTGTAATAAAGTTGGCATTCTTCCAGATGATAAGCGAAAACGGACAAAGTGATAAACGGACAAGGCATAGTTGATAGTGTTTAGCAAACAGAGAGGATGAACGCAAACATTCACACGTTTATTTAAGGGGTTCCAAAGTTACTGCACGCCATCTTTGCAGTCATCGGCATTCTATAAAAGGAACGTCTTCAAAAAATTTGAGAAAATTATCTTCAGGTTTTTCGTATTCATTTCTACACGATGCTAACGCACATTTTTGAATTTTTGATACTCCCTCGCTTTGAAGCGCTAGAGGCACCCAAATACCTCCTTGTACAAGCGACACTACCGAAATACATTCTTGTTATAGAATAGGAAAAAACAAATAAGTGCTGAGAAGAAAATCAGAGAAAAGAAAATTTGAGTGTGTTTAAAAGCTAGCTAAACTTGCTGGTCATTTGGCAACTGCGGCATCAATCATGGTGATGGGTACACCTTGCTATATCTTAAGTGTGTTGTAAATTTGGGATTTTCAGGGAGCTTGTGCAATATTCCAGAAGAAAAAGAGAAAAAGCGTGACGGAATTTAATCGACAACCTAACAACTTGTAGAAGCAGTGGATAGCGAGGTCCGTAGTAACTCCCATTCATCTCAGTTGACCGGAGATCAGTCACTTAGAAGAATTCTGGGGTGAACCTAAGACCGCCCACCTCGTGCTTTCGGATAGTCAGTTCAACAGCCAGAAGACCGTTCCGCCAAGTGCCACGGTCACTTTAACGTAATACCACTTAGTCGAGGGTAGAGTGACCGTGCAATAATAGCACGGAACTTCACAAACTTATTATTCTGCTCAAAATGGAGCTAAAGGGCTCAAAGTTTGCAGGGTGCTACAGTTTTGTTTCATCTGTCCATTTGCTAAATGGTATTCTTGATAGCGATCGTCATCGATTTTTGCGATAGTGGCCGCTATCAAAGACTGCCCGGCGATGCCGCAAAAACTCCCCACTAGCTGGCCTCAACCATGAAATTGCTCCTTCAATCTCAATCACTTATCCGTATGACCAAATCCGCTCAATTGTTTTGTTTTTGAAAACTTACAAGATCTTTACGTCCAGGCAGTTAGCATTTTGATCAATAGTTCATCGGATACCGCAACGCGAACTGTGTTTAACTTGGGCCCGCCCTAGCCAAGTTGCGTTGAACAGAGATTTACTAGGGGCCTGAATCTGTGTCAGTTACGACGAACTGTTTCGAGCATCAGTAAAACCAATAACCATGATTGGTTTTAACGAGCTAAACATGCAGATAGAGGGCAATCTCTGACGTCAGTCTGCTTGACTATTAGGAGTTGCGAAAAGCATAGTTTTGATTGAATAAGACTGGCCGAGCAACGAAGAAGTGAGGTTGACGCGGCAACGAATGGACGTAATGGACGAAGAAATATGTTTAATTTTAGCGAGCTAGTTCGGTTGCAACTGAGGCGGAAGCAAAGCTTGAAGCGAAGCTGTAATTACTCCACAAGTGTTAGCATAGCAACAGCGAGATGGACAGATTTCACTGATGTATTTTGAAGCCGTTGAACTAACCATGTTTGACACTGCATGCAAGTGATAGCGGTAGACGAATAAGTAATCGATGCTTCGCAGCGTCCGAATTCGGAAAATGACGCACTGACAGGAGAAAAAGGAGCGATAAACAGTTTACGTTGAACTCGAGTTTACACGTGCAAATCAGATTCCGTTCATTTCCAAACCCTATTTAGATCCTTTGGATAGCAAGAGTTCTGACAGGAAAAAGAGCAGTGTCTTACCAGAACTAAGGTATGCCAGGTTTTCCCGGATTTCATAAGAGGAACCCTTGTTGAGCAGCCTAACAATAGGATAACCAATCCAGGTAACCATAATAACAACAATGGACACAATTATGGTGTATGAGACCAAATTGCATACCGGCGGCAACGAAGGAAAAAAGCATGGAAGATGAAAACCGTGGCCGGATGCACTCAAAGTAGGAAGAATTTGTTGATTTTGCGCTTGTATGAGCGGGCAGCGACGGCTACGGGCTCCTAGCGGCTGCTACGGGCTGCTACGGGCTGCTAGCGGTGGCTGCCGGCGCGTTATGAAGGCACCTTTGGCTTTGGCTGCAAGGTTGACGCCACGCATGACTGCGTCGCCAGGAACGACGTTCTAAAACGCAACAGAAAAACGACGTCGTCTAGCGTGCGCCGAAATGCGCTTCGCGCGCCACTTAATGTTAGAGCCCAATTTTCTCAACTAGGAAGGACATTACCGAAGGGGACTTGAGCAGCGAATGTTGTCGAAATGAAGTCGAATCTATCGTGTTGTCCATTCTTGTCAGCGTCAAGATTGTAGTCTCAAAGACACTGCCCACGTTGTGATGGCGCTCACTAACGCAGCTCCTTATTCTGCCCCCAAGACATCTACGGTGTTTTAAATCATCATGCTCTGCCTCACTCAAATGTTTTTTTTAACAACTTGAGGGAGGCTAGACTTTGCTGGAACTTTGCCAGGGAAAGGAGTGGGGGAGGAGGGGAGGGGGAGGGCCATTGTTGTAGTTGTGTAGGTATTACTTTCATCACATATGCCCAATAGCATTACTATCGGTCGCTTATCACAGTAGTGTACATACACTGCAAGCCTACCTTATTAGCACAGGACCCGTACCCCAGTATCATGATTACCCCAGTTCAAATGTCAATTAGCTCCCCTGAGCAAAGCTTATGTTCACGGAAACCCGTCATCGTCAGTGCTTGTTCCCATGAACTACCCTACAGTAAATGCTTGATTAAAAAAATTCGTAATGCATGGTCTTTCTGCTAAAGCGGAAGTAATATAGAAAAACACTTTTCTCAAACAAGAAACAACCCAATCGTAAGTTGCAAGCATAAATCAATAAAAAGTAAACATTGGCATGATTCGACTAAAATTAGGAGACCTACACGGATGTAATGGTTTACCGGTCAATGCTGCATATTTCTCTGGGCGCAAAAAATGTACACGTGCAAATCAGAGGAATTCAATTAAGAGTTCCCTGACTGTCACCAACACAAGGCTTCATTTCGCAGTCTTAAAAAGGCTCGCAAAATCTGGTCAAGGTACTTTGACTAAAGAGAGTATCGAAGTAGTCGTTGTCCTGTCCACTACTGCTGAAAACGGTGATATACATATAAACTTGATTGAGATGTAATAACAGCTGTCATGGGTTTTGACTTCTTATCTTGTGTGTGGGTACTGTCAGGCCCATGGCCACCGAAGAGAAGACCAAATTAGGTCAAAAGGCGATCTAAGGCACGCTCTTAAACGGCAGGGAGGCCGCAGGCCAGATCTCGATTCATTGTTGTTTGTTTCGTTGTTCCACGCCACCGAAGAGTGGCGTCGGTCCTGTTTTGTTTTCTTTGTTTTCTAATAAACGTTCTCTGTCGTTCTCGTTCTTCGCTCGCTTAGAGGGTAACATTCCCTACATGGGGGCCTAGCCACTTTCTGCAAGTTAGTAATTTTCGCCGCACGTAAGGACGAATATCGAAATCATCGTTGTTTTGTTTTCGCCGCACGTAAGGGCGAACGCCGAATTTGTCGTTGTTGTGGAGGGGAAAACACAACTAAAGTAATTTTTGCAGAAAGCGAATGGAAGCGAGCAAAGAAGCTCAAGTGTCGGAGGAGCACATGGACACAGAGAATGTGAGATTCTATGATAGCATGGAGAGAAGGATTGAGAGGCTAAGAAAGGATTTGGAAAGGGTACCTGGAGATATATCAAGTGAGATGACAGAGCACAAAATTTCAGCCAGGTACAAAGAAAAATACGAAATGTTCATAAGGGAGAAAGTGAGAGAGTTGAGTGGGGAACTAAATGAAATGGCAGAACAGTGCCGTAGTATAGAGGATGAACGGGACAGTACGTCCGAAGCCATGAAAACATTAGGTATACAATCAGTTGAGGACTGGAGAGAGTTTGTAAGGGTGGCTGAGAGAAACAGGGAGATTCTAACACAAGCATGCAATATGCTAATTACTAATGTGCTTCAGGTGCCGACAGCCATTCAAGACCTCAAAAAGAAGGGAGGTGAAACGGAAAAAGTCAAGCAGGGTGAATCAATGCAAACTGTAGTAGACATAGAGAAGACTGCTTATCAAAGAGATACTTTGCAGCCCCAGCAGTACAATCCAAGGCGGACTGGAGCGCTGTTCGAACAAAACTTGAACAACTTTGTGTGGGGATTACCCAGTTCGCATTCAGGGGACAGGGACGTGGAACTAAGAGGTCAGCAAAATGATTTGCGATTTCTAGATTATGTTCAATCCCTCTCTTGTCTGGATCCGGGTGTTTTTTATGGGAAGCCCAACGGAAATTTCGGGGAATTTCTTAGAAAATTTAAAAGAAAGTATGCTAAAGTAATCACAGACACAGACCCTTGTAGATATACTAAGTGATAATCACTTGGATGGGCAGGCAATGAATGTAATGAGGACATTAGCCCCACAATAAGAAATAAGGGATTTGATGAAGTGATTGAAGAATTGGGAAAAATGCTAGCAGGGGATTCGGTAGCTAGTAGGATGAGGGCCATGGCTGAGCTGAGGTCCCTCAGGATCAGACCGCACCAAGATGTCGCAGAATTCTGCGTTGCCTTGGAGAAGATAGGTAGATCGGCTCATCCAGACAGAGCCTTGGAAGAAAACTCGGTGGAGTACGCCGAGATCCTTCTGGATAACTTAAGGGATTGGCCGGAATACGTTCAGTTGATAGCGGCGTTACATAGGGTACCGCCTAGCGAAGCATACAGCGAAGTGAAGCAACTGACGATTAGTATACAGAGAGCAAAAGAAATCTGGGAAGGGAAGCCGCGCACCGCTCTCAACAAGACGGAAGGCTGGAAAGAGCCACAAGTACATAGAGCAGCAAGATATGACACGGCGAGAATAGACAGTCAAGAAAACAGCCCAGGCTTGCAGTACACAACAAGGCAGGGGAATGCAAACCGAGGAGGAGAGACATGCGTATGCAGGGACCTCGAAACAGAGGACGGAACCCAGATGCTTCAACTGCCTCGAAACATGGCATTTTGCAAGAGATTGCCCACGAAAGCATAACAGGGCGAGAGTCCCGCAACCCTCATATAAAAACAATGTGTCTGAGATCGTCAATCGAATACGAAGCTGCAAAGTCGGCATCAGTGGAAGCACAGAGAGGGGCACTAAACGGATAGGACAACCAATCATACAGGAAAGAGTAAAAGGATACAATGATAGAGTCAGAGAAAGCATGAAAAGAAGTTATGACAACAAGAACAAGGTAGACCCAGACCAACAGCCTAAAGTGGGAGACCGGGTGTACGCCCTGGCACCAAGGGAAAAAGGCAAAAGCACTCATCTATTTAGAGTTCTGGATACTATCGATAATTCAGCCCTAATAACGCGCATAGGGGAGAATAGGGATCCTATACGGATACAGTTCGATATAAAAGTAATCCCAAATTACATGCCTAATGACAGAGTTGACACCCAGACAATGAGAGGGAAAAGGGGCAGAAAAAGAAGAGTTTTGTTGAGTAAGGTATGCAAAGTGAAAGTTATTAATTTCAAAGGTGCATCGCTGCTGAGCCCACTTGAAAAAGGACATCTGCTCTTCAAATGCGGAGACGACTGTTTTAAGGATCGAAAGCTTGGAGATATCGAAGGAATAGGCTTCCCGGGTGCAGTAGCAAATGAACATCGAGAATCTATGGTCCGCTTGGCTAGCTTGCAGTATCTTCAGCCAAAGGGATATCGATATTGGAACGAAAATCAAGTTTCATCGAGAAAGACACATATGTTTCGACGCGGAAGCCCTGAAAGCTGTCTTGAAGCTCGCATACGATACCTGCATCGACTGGACAGACTTTTATGCAACACAGATGCGATTACGAAGCACGCAAGGATCGAAGGGCATTCCATTGAGAGGTCCTATAACAAAGCATTGCAAGCATTCCGTCGAGAGATTGAGGGACAGTCCATGAAGGAGCTACCCATCAAGTCCAGACCAGTTGGATACGCTACTTTTGAGGGAGGAAGCTCCATGTAAAGAGATGGCATACGAGGAAGAGTGGCTACAAAAGTAGCAACGACGTTCGCTAGACTGCTTGACGTATTAGAGGAATGGACCACATACAAAGCCTGGGTAATAGTGTGGCTACTGGATAGTAATCCAGCCGATGATGTTCCGCAGAAGATGATGGTAGCAGCGAAGAAATACTTTGAGGAGGGCGGAAAAATAGTCACTGTTTGGCCACCGATAACGTCGAAGAATCATGATTTGTGGCGTGAACTGTCGGGATTATGGAAGACTTTTGATGAGACGATAGCTGATACAGTGCGACAAGCGAACAAGTCTTTACAACAGCAAGCAACTTCGGGATGAAAGGGGAGCTGTTTATAGAGGCAGGAGCCCCGGAAGGAGGCGCGCAGTTCCTCAATAGTTACATGGGAACCGCCATGAATAAGTATATTTACGAATGTGTCAGAAGACGAGCAGTGGATGCTCACCTGCCCGAGTTGGACGTTCACAGACCGCGCATCAGGACATCGAGGGCGATGTCTCCAGGCGAGGAGGGCGTGTCAGGCCCATGGCCACCGAAGAGAAGACCAAATTAGATCAAAAGGCGATCTAAGGCGCGTTCTTGGACGGCAGGGAGGCCGCAGGCCAGATCTCGATTCATTGTTGTTTGTTTCGTTGTTCCGACGCCACGGAACAATGGCGTCGGTCTTGTTTTGTTTTCTTTGTTTCTAATAAACGTTCTCTGTCGTTCTCGTTCTTCGCTCGCTTAGAGGGTAACATCCCTACAGTACTAGAAAAGGCGACTAGGAAAGCCTAGTGAGCCACTGTCCAAGCGGTTGCTCTAATACTTACTTAGATACTTAGACGGCCCGGCTTCACGTGACGTGCGGGCCCCAGCTCAGAAGTTTCCATTTCTCCCTGTCCCTCGCTTCAGACATCCACGATCTTCTTGGCTGACGTCGGTGGCTGCGTCCACGAGTTCCAGGTGCAAAAATCGTATCCACCTGATTTCTCAGCTGGTCCATCCGTTCCACGAACACGTCTGCCCATCTCGTTGGTGGTCTTCCTCGGGGACGTTTTGCTTCGCGAGGAATCCACTTCGATGTTCTTAGTGTCCATCTGTCGTCTGTTCTTCTCATGATGTGACCGCTTATCGATGCTTCGCTTTCGCAACGTAATCCGCTGGGTCACGAAGACGGGACATTCTCCTCATATCCGTACTGCGAAGTCCGACGAGATGTTGTTTGTGTCGGGTCATCTTCAGAAGACTACGCTCTAGCGCTCTGTGGGTGGTCCTTAAAGCTTTCGAAGTGGTGACGGTGTCAGCCCAAGTCTCAGCTGCGTAACAGAGCGCCGGGAGAACGGTTGAGTCGAACAGGTGGGCACGAAGCTCCGGGTCCGTCAGTTGGTCGGTGGCTTCCTTCAGAGGCCCGAAGGCGGCCCAGGCTGCTCTTCTTCTCCTGTTAAGTTCTTCCCTCAAGTCGTTCTCCATGTTCATCGAACGTCCGATATACACGTCTCCGTGATAGGGGTGCCTTCCAATTCCATTTCTGCATCTTCGCAAAGGGCGTTCTTCATGAACTGAGTCTTCTTCCGATTGATTCGCAATCCGATCTTCTTCCCTACTTCGTTCAGTTCCTTCAGCATCGTCTCTGCTTCAGTGATACTGCTCGAAAAGAGAACGATGTCGTCCGCAAAACGAAGGTTCGACAGGAATCTCCCATCAACTCGTATGCCTCTCTCGTCCCAGTCCAGTGACTTCATCACCCACTGCAAGGCCGCGGTGAACAGCTTCGGCGAAATTGTGTCGCCTTGTCGAACCCCCTTCCCAATTGGGATGGTCAGGGGGCGATGGAATAGCTGCATCGTCGTTGTACAGTCCTTGTAACAGTCGGCTAACGTCCTCACGTAAGCTGGGTCCACTCCTTGATTGACTAGCGCAGACAGGACGGCGTTGGTTTCGACGCTGTCAAAGGCTTTCTCGTAGTCGACAAAGGTTAGGACGAGAGGCAGTCGGTATTCCTGGCAGACTTCTATGACCCTCGAAACCGTCTGGATGTGGTCCATGCAGCTGAATCCTTTGCGAAATCCAGCTTGTTCTTGGGGTTGGGCTTCATCCAGTGTCCTAGATATGCGAGCGAGGATAATCTTTGTGAAAAGCTTGTACAGCACACTCAGCAGGCATATTGGACGGTAGTTCCGAAGATCTTCCCGTTCACCCTTCTTAAAAAGAAGGACGGTTCTTGATGTTCTCCACTGGTCGGGAATCCTTTTCTTCTGAAGGTAAGTTGTTAGGTGCGACGCGAGGATCTCGTGTGGACGTTGTCCTCCAGCTCGCAGAAATTCGACGGAAAGATGGTCTGGTCCTGGAGCCGTGGACGTCTTCATGGTCTGAATCGCTGTGCGCACTTCAGCAGGTAGAATTCGTGGTGGTACTTCTCCAGTGGGAACAACGGGCATCGGCACGGGTATTGATGAGCGAAAGAGGTTGGTATAGAAGTTCTTCGCGATAGATTCCATCTTGTATCGGGAAGAAGTCGGAGTCCCGTCTTCGTTCAATAGTGCAGCCAGCGGTACGCGATATTCACAGAGGTCCCTTCGGCACCTCTTGAGACTTCGTCTTCCTTCGGCTGCTCCCAGTATCTTGGCTTGCCTGTACTTCCTGAGATCCTCCTGCAAAGCTGTTCTGCAACTGGCGTTGGCTATCAGTCGCTCGAGATGGGTTGCATTCGGATCCTGCCTCAGAAATCTTCTTCTTTCAAGCATTTTCTTGGTGGTCTTCGAAACGCGTTCAACATTCTTCTCGGAAGTCACTGAGGCGCACTCTCCGCAGGCTCGCAATCCTTTAAGAAGCCGGTCGTAGTCGTACGTTGGGTCCTCCTCGATGGGCCAGTCACAACTTGATATGAGCTCCTCGAGCCTGTTACCGTCATAAACGACTTCCTTCCTTCTCGCGGCACTATGACAGACTTTCTTTTCCAGCCTTCGACTGAATCGTACCTTCGCTCGAAGGAGGCGGTGATCGGAGCCACTGCAGAAGGATGGAACTACTGAGATATCGAGCAAGCTCCACCTTCGGTTGGTGAGAATGTGGTCGATCTCCGCGTGGGTCGTTCCGTTAGGCGATTCCCATGTCCACCGGCGATGTTCTTTCTTCATAAAGATGGAATTTCCATGGAAAAGTCGTGCGGCGGAGAGAAGCCCAACAAGACGGTTGCCGTTTTCGTTCCGGAGCCCATA